TGAAATAATTTAATAAAAATAGTGCCTGTGATTTCAATCAATCAGTTCACTTCACTCCAGCTGCTCACTATAGTGAATTATAGTTAATTGCTTTTTAAGACATGAATGTGTTCAGACAGGCTTTGTTAAATGTACAAAACAAAAACAACTTTGGCCGTTAGGGGTCACTCAATCAAAACAATGACACAAGACCCAGTTTTTTTGATGTTGTGAAGCAGCGTGGGATCATGGGAGTTGTTGTCTTCGCCACTATTGCCGATGGAAATCTGAGGCAACTCGGGAGCAAATCATGTTCACAGGAGAGATAATGTATTATAGTTTTATTCATGTTACGCAGCAAACAAATAATCGTAAGTGACCAACACAAACAGTGGAAGGAAAAACAGCCGACTGGCTAACTGGCTAACACTTTTCTAGTCTTGATGATCACTCAAAGCGCTTTACAGCTTTACAGTACAGTTTTTGCCAATCACCTATTCACCCAGTGCATCAATGTGCAGCACTTGAGGCAATATTGGGGTTCAGTATCTTGCCCAAGGATACTTCGGCAAGATACTGGGGAAGACTGGGATCGAACCGCCGACCTTCTGGATGACTGCTCTACTCTTGAGCCACAGCTGACCCACATAACAGGTCTAGTCGTTTTTAGACATTTTAATGAAGAACAGTTGCATAGTCCCTTACAAATCCCTTTTGACACAATCATGTGTCAATATAACAGTGTCCTAATGTGTTATATAAAAGGAAGCTGGGGTTACTGTTTTTGGCTCTCTGCTCTGCACTGTGGCAGAGCATGAGCAATAATTCTCCTCTGTCACTTTTCAACCATGAGCAGGAGTGTGACTGAAATGCCAAAACAACAAAGGATATAAATCGCTGTAAATGAGGCAGCTACATCAAAGTCGTGGCACATGTTGAAAGAACCAGGGAGAGCACTGGTTTTATGACTTAAGGTGATGGAATAGAGGTGGTCTAATGAGGAAAAAGACAGAAGGGGAGTGAAGAGAAGCAGCAAAGAAGGGGCTGACGAGAGGAAAAGCAAAGAAGGAGGGGAAATCCGTGACAATGAGAAATGTGAGCAGACGTTCACCTGAAGAGAGGGAGGGATAGATAAAGGCGAGAGTTTGTATGTGACAGATTATCTTTTTTTTCTCTGATCTGAATGCCTGGTTTCTAAAAACTCTACAGCTTATTTACAAGGATGAGTAAATCAGGGACTTTAGGAATATCAACTTAAAAATTTGAAAAATATAGAGTTGAATACTGAATTCAACCCCCGCTCTAAGTGTCTTTATATGAGGCTGTATCCGAGTCTGCCTGAATGTGTGTGTCTTTGAATTAGTCCCTTAAATCTGAGAGTTTTAGTGTAAGCACCAGGGCATGAGTATAGATGATACAGATGATGCAGAAAATCATTTAGCTTGGTACAGTTAAAAGAGAGAAGGTGAGCTGGTGTATCATCTGCATCCTCTCACGGCCTGTTGTATGCTTCACCCACAAACTTGCCACAAAGACCCCTGTGTGGAGATACAGATGTTGTGCAGTGAGAGTTACCGTGTCGATGCCGCTGATCATCAGAGAGGTCAAGATCTAACATAAGATCATCTTCATCCAGCTCTGAAGAGCCCAGGTTGTTTAATACATCCTGAAGAGATAAAAGGCAAAAACGTATTAACTTAAAAT